CATAAACATAAGTTGACTAATAAAGTAATAACAGGAAGCAGGATGTCTAGAAGTTGAACGAGTAGCTTGAACGGTATCGGATCAAGTGGGGATGTCGTTTTGTTGAAGGATTTGATGATCTTTAAAATGTCATCTTGATTAAAACTCTCAAACTCTTTGAGTGACACGACACCAGTCAAGTTCACGGGTGTACACGTATGTGTAGCCCCCCCCCCCGTAAGACCTCCATGATCAGTAAAGTCTTTTCTAATTTTGTCAATGTTCGAGGCGAAAAAGTCAGAGAAAGAGTTTGCCAATTCCTCGTGATCATCTGGATGTGGCTGGGTGGCTACGGATTTGATACCAAGCAATGGTTTCATGAAGGAATGATACTTATCAAGAGAGTGACTTAGCCTCTCTGGTAGTTTTAGATACTCTGGCTCTTTCATCTTTACATAATTGCCGATTTACTTCAAGATGTGTGGACCGCCATTTCCGTTGATCGTACCTCGGTGTTTTACCAGTTTATACCAGGTCGAGGTATAATCTATAGCGATTGGAGCATCCTGATCCAGGATGGTGAGCAGCGTCGTGTTGTACAGGACAGCAAGGTCAATTATGTCTTGAGGAGGGCAACAACCTAGGTCAGATGTAGCATGTTCAACGCGGAAAGCACCAAGATGAATGAATCATATCTTTCGAATCGGCTTTTAACAGTTTCCGGGTTGGGGCTTTTCAAAATTCCATTTTGAAGATACCAGATATAGATCGGTGATCTGTATATCTCTTATGTTGACATCTTCTATCAAGGTGTAATCTTGGCGAGTGACAATCCAATTAAGGATGTGGCCTGCTTTATGGGTTGGCTGATGAACATGTTGTTGAAGATCGTGCAGTTTTAAGATTCTGACGACTTTGGATTGTCGCAGTGAATGTTAAAGTCACCAAGTAGCACAACATTCCGTTTGGGATTCCTTTATTATACTGGGATCTGGAAGAGTTGTTATCATTGACGTGTTCTGAATGGTGTGAGGGATTAGCCAATGACACGGTCTGTTACGGCAGGCTTTAGGCCTGTTTTGCACGGAACTGTGAGTAATCCACTAGTAACATCAATGCTGAATGGTTAATCAAATATCTGACGTCATAGGGCCAATAGTCGCTCGTATGACCTCTGACGCGACCTATCGCTACAACCGGCCAGATCTTCATGTAGTGTAGACCATCGAAAGTATAAATAAACGAAACGAAATATAGATCTGTACTTTAATCAGATTGATTAAAGAGTTGAGTTAAAAGTTTAGCTCTGTGAGTTGCATACTGAGAAAATTAGCAAATGAGTAGGTGATCACTCGGGTCAAGAAGGTTTAACGGTAACAGTTTTTGTTGGTTAGTGAGCTGAGTTCATGCAATACAATTCAACAACAGACCAACTAAAAATAGTCTCAGATGGCCATTTTCTATTATACAATTCTGTTTACAGAAATTTCAAACACAGATTGTCGCATTGTGTTGTTTCCAATTTACAAATAAATATCACCAAAATAATCACAATATCCTTAGAAAGCACACCAGAAAATTCCATATGGGTAAACTACTCCAAACTTTCCAAATTTTATAAATAACCACAAGCACATTACGATGTTAGAGTTATCCAAGCTCAACAAATTTTACAACACATAGACAATACTTTGGGCTTTTTTTTTTAACATTTTATGACAAAGACTTACTATAAAAACTTCATTCATCAACAATCGAAGTCAGGCCAAGTTTGATTTTTGAAGATATAACCAATTTGGCAGGTTTGACAAATTGGTTGAAAATATGTTCAGACCACATTATCAAGGCAATTGGAGGCAGACCGCCATTAAGGTTCACCATATCAGTACCCACAAATTGTAGTTCGTCTATTTATAGCATTTCTCCCTGTGTCTCTTTTCTCCCCCTTTGCATGTCCACTTTTGTTGATTTTTTGGTCTCCAATGGACGAACAGGGTTTGAATTAACATTTGCTGCCAGGTTTTGGTAAATATTCATGATTTTGAGGCGGAAGGATAACGGGGTTATCAAGTTGGCTACGGTGATATGTACGGCAACTAGTTACATGTTTTTAGTATGCTTCTTCATGTTAGTGTGTCTCAAAATTTTGGTGGTCAACCTCATACAAATTTTAGTGCAAAGACATGTCCATTTGTTCCTGTCTGTAGTGAAAAGCAGTCAGTCCAACGAAAATTTGTGGAAACGTTGGAGGTGGGCAAAGAGGCCAGAATTAAGCTATTACAGCTAGCTCTGTACCAAAATCGCCAAAATTTCAAAATCAAAAATTAAATCAACGCGTGCAATAGAAATTTTTGTTCACGTTCGCGGTAAAATAACCACGAAAGTCGAAGTGCATAATGGCTGTATTTTATACTCGGCATTATATACCATTACATGTTTGTTTAAAAGCTATTTGTGACGTTTATTTGCTGAGATCTCCCGACTCAACATGCGCGGGATTAACCTTTGCTCACTCGAGAAAATCTCCGTAATGGTGCAGTCAGACGGATTGGCTAGCTACAATATGTATCGTTAAACGCTACAATTGATACAGTCTAAGACTCCTTACGCAAGTTTAAATAGGTTCATACGCACAATTGGCAACACATATCATTACAGTTTGTATTGAAATAAGTAATTCTATCACAAATAGTGAAAACTGGACCACTAAAATAGTTACCGAACAGTTTTTATTTGTGGTAATGCGTACTAAATTTTCAAAGCGATATTTCTTATAATGTGAACGCCGCCATGACACCGGCCAGTTGAAATAAGTTCGGTAGTCGTGAAATTTCGCGTAGCAGTTGGGTTTCATATCTTATAATTATGCGGTAAGGCTTCACCTTTATTTCAATAGGAATTTGTTTATTATATGTTAAGCAGTACAGTTTTGGGTCAGTTTTTGTGTAAATTAAGGGAGCTATAGGCCCATAACCTTTTTGTAGTCATTTGACTAAAACACTTGCGCAAAGGAACTCCGTAGGAACTGGAGTAAGGCGGAAGACGTCAGTAGTGGAACCATTTCTAACGGATTGGCGTGTCAGTTTTTAAAAGGACAAATTATTGAGCCGTGACTGCTCTAACAATGTGTGCAGCAACAACAAGGTCGCCATTATGTTAGTGAGTACAATTGATAAGTTGGGGTGATCATTTGTCCCTTTTGTATACAATCCTGGGCCCTTATTCACGAAAACTTAAACTAAGTTACAACCGAAATTTTAAGAAATACTGCAACTTCATTGGATATATGCAAATTGATTTTACTGGCCAGCCAATCCTATTGCAGTATTTCTTAAAATTTCGATTGTATCTTAGTTTAAGGGCCCAGTAATATAAAACATAGTTTTGCAAATATCGTATAAAATATATCCCAAAGGAGTAAAAGTTTGGCATTAACGTGGTCCTATATAATTTAAAAGTTTTAATGCTAAAAATCACGACACAACACAAGAAACATGGCAAAAAACCCCTTAAATACACAGAGTACATAAAATACAACTGCCTCTAAGGCGCTTACAAATGCTTCATGTAGAAACCGAACCACAATGGAACATCCAGAAGAACATTCCCGGCCAACACAGGGATCGAACCCTAGGCCCTCTGGGTAGTGCACACACTCCAACGCCCACACGTTGCAGCTGTGGTAGGTGTGGCGCCGGGCTTTTAGAACCGACTAATACATAGTTAACATTTGGCACCAGTTTCAGTCATATTACTTATGAGGCAAATTTGGACCTATTTGTGGGCGTGGCAGGTTAGGCACATTTAAGTGGTCAGATTAGGGGATTGCCCCAATGAAACCAGTCAGATTTGATAATTTTAGAACCGTCTCATAAATAGCTAACATTTGCCACCAATTTCAATCTTATTACTTATGAGGCATTTTTGGGCTTCTGTCAACACAGAGAAAGGGGTATGGCCTCACTTTTTCCTGTCAGAATTTGCTTTTTAAGATTCAGATATAGCACCACAACAATTCAAAACTATTTCTTATCGTATTACTTATGACGCAAATTTGACATATTTGTGGGCGTGGCAGATTTTAAGTGGTCAGATAAGGGATATGCCCCACTGAAACCAGGCAGATTTGATATTTTTAGAATCGGCTCATAGATAGCTAACATTTGGCAACTATTACTTATGAGGCAAATTTTGGCCCTTACGCACGTTTTAAGGTAGTCAGAAAAGGGCATGGCCCCACTTCTTCTTGTCAGATTTATATTTTTTTTATATTCATACATTGTATGATAATATTTTAGAAATAATTATGATCCTATTACTTATGAGGCAAATTTGAGCCCTTTTTATCTGCCCCTCCAAGCCAAATGCCCCACTGAAACCTCGTAAGACTGGGTGTTTTGAATTTGCCCTATCCATAGCTGCCAATTCATATGGTCAAACCATCTATTACTTATGAGGCAGGTTTTTCGTCACTGGCTTTTGGACTATAAGAAATCAAATTAGGTTTATCGTCCTACGTTTCTGCACCAACAGCCCGAGAAGTGGTATCTGATGTTCTAAAAAGTGTAAGCATATACCCTGCCTCATGTACCACACCCGCCACAAACTTATAGTTCACCTGAGCAATAATCTGAATACAGGTAATTTAAAATCAACTATAAATCTCAAACAACTTTTTAAAATAATATATTCGATAGTTTTATTTTACAAAAATAAATTTTTAAATTGTCATATAGACATCAAGCAAATCGAACTAAAGGCAAATTAAATTATAATAATACAAGAATTAAATCAATTAATATAGATTATATACCTGTTTACAATCATAAAAATATATATCACAAACAGAGTTTCACAAAAAACATATTGATATCGTTCAATATTCACAATCACAAAATAGTCACATATTTGCATAAAAAACTAATGTTTTTGGACATTGCTTGTTTGTTTGTACTGTTACATAGCACAGAATATAGCACATGATTTGTTGAAGTCGCCTAGAAAAGTTTCAAGTGTTCATATTAATTAAGCGAACAACTGCGTCTCTTGGGTTGTGTTGATGCCTTCTTTTTGCTAAACAGAATGGCTGGCAATGAAATCCGCCTCCTCTTAACAGCAGGACTTAGAGAGCATTGCACCTTTGATTGTCTTAAAATTTCCTTAAAAATGCCTACAATGTTGATATTATCTTTGGCCGAGGCCTCGATATATCCGTTTCCCCACTCCACAGACACAAGCATTTCCGCCGTTTCTCGACTAATTATTCGTTTTTCTTCTAATACGTCTGTTTTATTTGCCACGATCACAATTGGGACATTTTCATCGTCTCGCTCGGCAATGATCTGTTCTCTCATGGCTATTACTTCATCAAAGGAGGTATCATCGTTGACCGAGTACACTAGTATGAAGGCATTGCTCGTGGCTATGGCTAACTTTCTCATGGCAGGAAACGAATGAGCACCGGCAGTATCTAAAATGTCTAAAACAAGCTGCGTGCCTTTCACACTGTACTCTCCTCTATGTAGTTCTTCAATTGTTTCTTTATATTCACTGACGAATCTCTCGTAAAGAAATTGTGAGATGATAGAACTTTTACCCACGGCAGCTGCTCCCATCACTACGATTCTAAACCGTGCAGTTCCTTCTTTTTCAGAAATGGATTTCTGAGATAGATGAAGACTCGTTGCTCTGGTGGACGTAAGCATCTCTGTAAGTGTTGTAGAGAGTTTCCTCTCAATCTAGAATATAAATAATAAGTTCTTAAGATTCAGACAAGTTGTCGTACAATCAAGTGCACTGTACTACATATCTTTTGTTGACATGCCTTATATACCTTCACAATAGTTCAAGTTTACAAGTGCGCGTTATTTCATTGGTTGAAACAGATAACCAATAACAATCATTATTTGAAATTAGCACGAATTAAAATTCTATATCAAGGAATTAATATAACGATTTAGTGTTCCATTTAAACGAACTAATATTTCCTTTAAACGAAATAATTATATTAGAGTGAATCCTGTACAAAAAAAAAATATATAAGAATGGAATCGTGAACTTAAGCGTCTCCGTATAACGTAGTTCGTGTTTTTCAAAAAAGGAATGTCAAATCAAATTTTAACAGGTAGAGAAATTACATCATACTCAGTTTGTTGGACCACTTGGTCACAGACGTAGACTAAGGACATTTTCCACCTAGAAATTGAATTTCTTATGTCTTCTAAGCTTATTCTGCTCATTTCATTGGCGTATCAAGGCATTGGAGCTGCGGGGAGTCCAAGGTGTAAAAAAAAACCCGTCAAGTTTGGCGTTAGGTCGGTCGGAACTACCGGCTCATACGATAAAAGCTTTGAGACAGTTCTGCTTATTTAGGTACATACATGTATAGGATTACAGTGGAGTGAGCCAAAATGGTGTTATTTCCATGTATGTTGTAGAGACAAAAACATTCTGCATTTTGACCGAATTGTATCATCAGGTCATTGTCCGTAAATAGTTTCGTGGGCCATTCGTAATCCATCTGATTCGGGTGTGGGGGTCGCGACAACCTCTGATCCTTTTTAAAATAAAAGTCTGAGGTGGCTTCCTGGAGATAGTGCAGGGTTTGACTACTTGTCGCCCCACCCTGCTGAAACATAGTCATTGTTCGGATAAGAGTCTGCGGCAATCGGGTAATATGTAGGCCTATCATTTCGAGTCAACTTCCATTGTCTTAAGTATCGATGATGTAAAAATTCACTTTAACACTCCAAATAATCCCAGAAGAAACACCATAACCTTCTTAGATTTCTGGTTGGAAAAGGCGTTTACGTACTATCTACAAGGAAGATAGGGGACATTTTGATCATTTGCTTACGTAAACTGCAGTGATTGTGATGCGACTTCTCTGTCCGGTAAAACTTGATTTGGCATTTTTGTTTAAAACCGTTCTGGGTTATTAACACTATCGGAGTGAATCTGCCATACATCCATATTGAACGACATGTGTAATGTTAAAGATATCGGCACAGCACGTTTTGAATTATTCCACTTTAAATGTTGTACTCAACATTGCCTTTCCTCAACAACATGATATCAGTTCCTTCTTATTTGCTATAAAGTACATCATTAGAATAACCCAGATCTTGTGGTTCAGTGGCTAAGGGAGAAATGGGGTTTAAAATCCACTCGACACAAACTAGGTCATTTCGGGACTAACATAGATCAATTTAATTTCAATAATTCGCTAGCGCGTAGGGGTTTTTAGCAGTGGGAGGACCCAGAGAAAACCTCCGAGGTTCGACAGCCGACCCTACTACTTGTCACGTACAATCGGGGAATCGAAACCACGCCACTTAACTCAATGACAGGCCTTGCAAATTAAACACGCCCGTGTTAACCACTCGGCCACCTCCCCCAGTGGGTAAGGCGCTTGAGCTCAGTAACAAGGAGGTCCGTAGCGTTATTCCAGTGTCGACCAAGAAGGCTTTGTGGGTTTTGTTTCAGTTGGGTGTCCCATTGTCAGCTGTGCACGATGGTTTGTCGTTTGATCCGAAAAACTAGACACATCCGCTTTGTCGGACCCATAAGACCCCCCCCCCCCAGAAATGTACACGTACGCATGCCACGCGTACACATTGACGTGCAAGTAAAAGATCCCTTGGCAGTTGACATTCGATATAAGAGTAGGCCGTAGCGCCACTTTCCGGACAAAATGTTCATCACCGTGAACTCTATGGCGTATGCCTCTCTTCATAAGCCCATTGGGGGGGGGGGGCAGTAGGACGTTAAACTCCATTTAATTTCATTTCATTTTACACGTACGCATAAGCAATCAAATTAGGTTTATCGTCCTTCGTTTCTGCGCCCAGAGAAATGGTATCTGATGTTCTAAAAAAGAGTAGTAAGCATATACCCTGCCTCGTGTACACCCGCCAGCTACTTATAGTTCGACCGAGCAATAATTTGAATACAGGCAATTTAAAATCAACTATAAATCTCAAACAACTTTTTTAAAATAATATATTCGATAATTTTATTATACAAAAATACATTTTTAAATTGTCATTCCATTATACAAAAATCTATACTGGAAACACCAATATATAGACAACAAGCAAATCGAACTAAAGGCAAATTAAATGATAATAATACAAGAATTAAATCAATTAATATAGATTAGATACCTGTTTACAATCATTAAAATGTATATCACAAATAGAATTCACACAGTTTCACAAAAAAAAAACATATTGATATCGTTCAATATTCACAATCACAAAATAGTCACATATTTGCATAAAAAACTAATGTTTTTGGACACTGTTTGTTTGTACTGTTACACAGCACGGAATACAGCACAAGATTTTTTGTAGTCGCCTGGGAAAGTTTCAAGTGTTTATATTAATTAAGCGAACAACTGTGTCTCTTGGGTTGTGTTGGTGCCTTCTTTTTGCTAAACAGAATGGCTGGCATTGAAATTCGCCTCCTCTTAACAGCAGGACTCAGAGAGTATTGGAACTTAGATTGTCTTAAAATTTCCTTGAAAATGCCTACAATGTTGATATTGTCTTTGGCCGAAGCCTCGATATATCCGTTACCCCACTCCACAGACACAAGCGCTTCCGCCGTTTCTCGACTAATTGTTCGTTTTTCTTCTAATACGTCTGTTTTATTTGCCACGATCACAATTGGGACATTTTCATCGTCTCGCTCGGCAATAATCTGTTCTCTCATGGCCTTTACTTCATCAAAGGAGGTAGCATCGTTGACCGAGTACACTAGTATGAAGGCATTGCTCGTGGCTATGGCTAACTTTCTCATGGCAGGAAACGAATGAGCACCGGCAGTATCTAAAATGTCTAAAACAAGCTGCGTGCCTTTCACACTGTACTCTCCTCTATGTAGTTCTTCAATTGTTTCTTTATATTCACTGACGAATCTCTCGTAAAGAAATTGTGAGATGATAGAACTTTTACCCACGGCAGCTGCTCCCATAACTACGATTCTAAACCGTGCAGTTCCTCCTTTTTCAGAAATGGATTTCTGAGATAGATGAAGACTCGTTGCTCTGGTGGACGTAAGCATCTCTGTAAGTGTTGTAGAGAGTTTCCTCTCAATCTAGAATATAAATAATAAGTTCTTAAGATTCAGACAAGTTATCGTACAATCAAGTGCACTGTACTACATATCTTTTGTTGACATGCCTTATATACCTTCACAATAGTTCAAGTTTGCACGTGCGCGTTATTTGATTGGCTGAAACAGATAACCAATAACAGTGATTCTTTGAAATTGTCACATTGGAATCATGTTTTGTCATGGCAACCACTTAATTCGTAAGAAAATGAAAACAATTTCATTACGAAAGAAATGTACTCGTAGGAATTCGGTTAAAATTATAACTAACCTGAATACTGTTGCAATGACCCGTTGTGAATTCTGAAATTTCCTTCTGTAAGCGATAAAAATCTACCAACTTGTGAGACGAATGCGAGAACACTACCGACCGTCTGAACAGGACTGTGGTGATCGATAGAATCTAAGGAGAGAAACTCTGGCTAATGGCAGTGTCTGTCATTTTGATTGTGTTAGACACAGAAAGACCAAGTAAGCCGTGAATGTTGTCTGTCACACGCCATACGTTCGTAGAAGCCCATACAAGTAATTGGGCTTTAAAACAAAACATTGCTACAAGGCTTAGATATTATCGTTATTGAACGAAATATATACGCTTTGGGTCTTAGATAGATTTTTATCTTGAAATATTATATTTTTCTTCTTTCATATTCGTTTGACTTTTTAGATTATCTACGCTATACACGTGTTTTGTAGAGAGAGGGAGAGAGAAATGGGGTTTAACGTCCACTCGACACAAACTAGGTCATTTCGATACTAGTCCATACTGGTATATTAGGTAGATGCCCAGTCGATACTAGTCCACGTATATTATGTAGATGCCCAGTCCATACTGGTATATATGTAGATGCCCAGTCCACACTGGTCAATACTGGTATATTATGTAGATGTTCAGTCCATACTGGTATATTATGTAGATGCCCAGTCCACACTGGTATATTATGTAGATGTCCAGTCCATACTAGTATATTGTGTAGATGCCCAGACTATACCAGTATATTATGGAGACATTGTGAACGTACAATGGGCCTGTGTCAAATAATTAGAAGTATTATAATCAATCCGTTCAAATCGGCAAAAAGAAAAAAAAAAGATAAATAAATAAATCATAATTTACTGTCCAAATTTAACGAAACTAAAAAAATGAAGGAGTAAAATATCAAGGATGGGCCCTTCATCTTTGATAGACACGTGTCCAAGCAACATTTCCTTAAAGTTTCATATGTTTTCATGGAAGACCACTATACATTGTTAACTATGAAAAAGGGTGATTTAAGTTATTTTCTTGGGCGAGTTGATTTTCAAATGTAATTTTACAAAGATAAAACCATTGATACATGTGTTAAGTAACGATTTCTAATGTATTGTAGCAACATTTCTGCACTGAATCGAAATATCAATGTTTGGCACTTAAGATTCTCCATACACTGTTGACGGTAATTGTTCTGTATAATTTGATGGTGAATTCGTCATCTATATAACATTCTCATATCAAGCCTCATAATTTCAAGAACATAAACTGACTAGAAGGACTAAAATCAGAACACCAAAATCGAGGCAGTAGTTTCAAAAATTTCGAAAGGGTACCCCGATACAAATAGTAATATCTCAGTCAATATTTAATGCTAGAGTCATATAACTTTGCAGTTTTACATAAGTCTACATATATATATATATATATATAATTATCTCAGGGCGACATCACCTAACAACGTTTTGAGGAGTTGTTCCACCTGACATGGAATGGCCCCCTTGACAGCTATATTTCAATTGCAAAATTACGCTCATTCATTGGTTTATTATAGGTTTCATTTTCTTTTCGGGGGGGTTGGATGGCCGAATGGATAGTACGCGCTGTATCATACGGTCTGTCATTGGGTTAGCGAGCCAGCGTCCTATTCACTGAGCCACCGTGACCCCGCATTTATGTAAGCAGGCAATCTGTTGAGTATGAACGTAAAAGTAACTTGTTTTGATTTTTATATAGAAATTTTCCAGTCGACTGAATATCTTATAAAACATGATTAAATATCGTCGACTTATAAATAAAACCTCTTGGGCTATGAAATTAACCTTTCTCTGATCAACTTAACTATCTTGCGCCCACGGCAAAGTAATCCGTTTAGATACGGGCTCATAACAAGAGTTCTACCCAGGTCGAAACGACATATAGTTCAATTTTATTTCAGTATATAATTCGCTTGCGGCTACGGGGTCTTTAGCATGATAGGAAACCGGATGTCCAGGAGAAGCCCAACGCGGTTGGACAGGTGACCCTACTCCTTGTCATGTACATGACCCAATGACAGACCTTATAATTGAACGCGCATGCCTTAAACCACCAGACCATCCAACACACTACCTTGAATGAGACATATTCCCACATTACAAATATAATGGTAATTGTGTATATGATCGATATCTTTTTTAAATCACACGTATTTCCATGCCCATCTTAAACTCAGTATAGACCCCCGCCCGACAAAGCGGTGTAGCAGGCTGTCTACCGGCACACCTTCTCACATAGACCCCCGGGCATAGCGGTGTAGTAGGCTGTCTACCGGCACACCTTTTCACATAGACCCCCGGGCATAGCGGTGTAGTAGGCTGTCTACCTTCTCACATAGACCCCCGGGCATAGCCGTGTAGTAGGCTGTCTACCTGCACACCTTCTCAAATAGAGACCGGGAGGGAACCCGCGACCTCCAGGCTAGCCACCGTGGCTCCCCAGAGGCAAATGAGCATCACCAAATATGCACCGTTTACTATAATATGTAGCTATTGACAGCAATATACATAAATTAGCATGCCCACCTGGGCAATCTGCCCGCCCCCCAACCCCCGGGCCACTTCCCAGCATGCCCAAGCGTTAAGATGGCCCTATTTTTTGCTGTTGGTCCCCTCTACACATTGGCGTGCAAGAACGTAAATGAACCCATGACAATTGGAATTCGAAATAATTTCCCTCAGACTCATAGCACATATTCGGAGCATTTTAAATCATACAATTATGTTTGGTGTTTCCGATGTTGAAAATCAAAACAAATAAAAAAAATTTAAGTCAATGAAGAATCGTAGTTCCAAGTAGAGAGCTTAGTGAAGATTGGAACCGTTTCGTGTATTATCGTGCACAGTGTTTCTTAATCTCCTGAGAAGCGATCGAATATTGAAACTACCTAGCTAATCCTTCCATTTTACGGCTTGACAGATTTAAATCTGACTTAGATACGTCAATGATACGTTATATGAGCCCATATAAATCAGAATGAAGCAGGGGAGATAACTCCCTTTTTTAAATGGTGATGAAATGGACACAATTATCTAATGATTTCACCATTGATTTTCATATTAATTTTCGTCTATTAGACTGACTGGCAACCTCTTGCCCAAAAGCACGTATGAGGTTCACCATGGAAAACTTGAGATCCACAAACTGGAAGTAAAGACCCAAAAAATGGCTATTTTCCACCCTACATTTCAACCTATTTTTAAACCCTTTTTGTCGATTCTACTCCAAAAAGTCAACAAAAATCGCCATGCAAAAGGGTGGGTGGGGGTTGGGGTAGGGAAAGGGAGAGACTAAAATAACTTTCGTCCTTCATTCGGGTGATGACGTATGAATATTTGCGAGCTGTGTACAAATGGGAATGTTTACTTTATGGAATTTGGCGGGTTTGGTAGTCTAGTGGTTTAGCGCGTTAAGGTCTGTCATTGAGTCAAGTGGCGTGGTTTCGATGATACGTTGGTACGTGAAAAGGTTTTCACCCATTGTACTAGTTCCTTTAGGAACTGTCTCTGAGCGGACGATGTCCACTGACAGTTCCTGTCGAGCCTTATATAGCTGCAATATGAAAATACGGTAAAATACCGCTCTTCCCCACCTGTCTTCTCAGGCTGTTTTAGAACACCAACCTTCTATTTTTCACCGTGATTCTTTATTTTCCACCAAAAGAAATCATTTATCAATATATTTGACACAAATTTTTAATTATTCAACACAATTTTCAAGTAGAATTTAGCGATGAAATAAACATGCGGTTTGCGCATATCCGGGTCTCGTAATGGCCGTCAGATCAAACGTATTTTGTGTATGTATTTAATCGCAGAATCATTATAAATGTGTGTCGGCTGTGGCAAGAAATGATTCCTTTGGCGAATAAAGGTGAAAAATACCTCTTCTACATTTCCGGCAAAACTTTAATAACTTCCCCATCCCATTGCCGACCCCTCCCTGTTCCGTTAATAATTGAACAACTTAAAGCAGCCAAACCTTTTTGATTTAGGTCAAAATAAAGTATTGACATTCCATGATGTGACGGGGGGCAACCTTTTAGTCTGGAGGCTCAGTGCGGGCGGCTGGGGTGTCCATCAAATGGGCACAAAACCAGACCCAACTTTTCTAGAGTCAAATTTTGCGTAGAATACAATGCCGAGTGGTAATCAGTCCGCCGTTGGGGCGTTTTCGAGATATTCGGGGTCAAAGGTCAAATGGGTTCATTGGCACTGAAAGTGAATGCGCAGTCGTTTTTGTATCATGAAAAATAGCTGAAAATGATCGAAAGTAATCACACTTTCAATAAAAATGTAAACTTGCTAAATTCACCTTTGTTCTTTGTGACCCCAGAGATCAAACGGTCACATTTTCCGTTTTATCACTAGGAAGATTTAAAGTAATAAATGTCAGCGTAAAATATAAAAACTAAAGCGAAACCTGTTCTAATTAATAATAGGAACATTTGAAATTTATCTTTAGGTGATCTTAGCACCGAACTTTTACTTTGGAACATCGAAAAAGATCTTGCATAACATAACCAAAACGCTTCTGAACCCGTTTTAAAAATATTTAAAAACTTAAATTAAAATCTCTCCGAATTAGTTTTACAACGAATGCTATACAGAATGATACTAGTTGTCCGAAAAAAAACCAAACAATTGAATAGTTTCATGGCTGGACTCCAGCCTGCAGGCGGCGTCACAAAGCCTGCCA